AACAAAAGCTATAGATACTTAAGCTCTTCCACCTGGGGCAGGTCCTTTCCCCTTACCTGGAGTGGGCATGCCATCCTTTTCCGAGCTAGTACCATGGACTCAGACTTGGAGGTGCTGATCCGCATACCAACCGCTTCACACTCAGCTGCAAACCGCTGAACGAGCTTGACTTAATGCTGAGTGCACGAACACAGCTCTTATTCCAGGAATAAAGAGATTGAATGGCCCAGAGTAGTAGCCCCGGCACCCCACTCTCCTGAAGGACCTTCCACAAGATATTTTGGGGAATATGGTCGTAAGCCTTCTCCAAGTCCACGAAACACATGTAGACTGGGTTGGCAAACTCCCATGACCCATCAACAATCTGCGAGAGGGTGAAAATCTGGTCCATTGTTCCACGACTGGGACGGAAATGGAGGAAATTATGACACGCTAGAAGCCTCTGGCCTTGACTCGCTGAACTCCTCCCACGCCCTGGATTTTGCTTGCGCCAATGTTGCTGCTGCCACCTTTTTTGCCTGTCCGTACCTATCTGCTGAGTTGGAAGTCCTCCGGGCCATCCAGTCCCTAAAGGCCTCTTTCTTCAGCTTGACGGCCTCCCTCTCCACATGGTCCCAAGTCAGATGAAATGACAACAACAATCCATGCCTAGCACAGAAGTCCAATAACCATTCACCTTTCAAGTTTAGATCGGGCAGGCCATCCTTCCCAATCACCCCTCTCCAGGGGACGTATTGCAGAAATTTCCTCTCTTTTTATCTTAACTTAAGATCTGCAAGGTCAAGATAAGATTTTTCACAAATTCGTATTACAGAAGCAAATCTTATCTTGATTTAGGAAACCAATCTTATCTTACAGCATCTTATCTCAAGTTGAGAAATCTTAACTTGCACAGTACAGCTGAAACATAAACACGTAATCAAAGTAATCAAGCTAGTTAGCCAGACAGCTAACAAACATTAGCTACTGTTACTGATTTAAAAAGGTCAAACAAAACTGAAGGGCTATAAACTTGAAGTTTATAATGTTGTGACAGCTCTTCGTGCTGTCACCGCTCTCCACTTTCAGTTTAATTTCCCAAACACTTTAGCTGAGCATGCTAACTCTATTCCTCCTAATAAACTCTCCTCATTATTCACCACCATCACTGTAATATTTTATCTGACAAGTTTTCATCAACATAACACACAAAGGTAATAAGAGGGGATGGTGGAGATCGTGTCTGCAGCATCTAGGCTTTTAAAACGCTTTTAGAAAACCCTCACAAGTCAAACCACCATTTGCAGTGTGGATAAATGTTATGTCATTATGCTAGTTATAGTGAACTTTATGCCTGTCACTGCATAAAACAATAGAAACAGACGGTTAAAACAAAAGTTAAGACAAGTCTGGGGTTGTCTTAAAGTTAGGACAGAATTTAGGAAATAGTTAGAATGTTTCTGTAATACTGTTTTTTTTTATCTGGAGTTAGGATATGATTATGAACTTAAGAACTGTTGTTCTGTAATAAATTCTGTCCTAAATTCAGTCCTAACTGAAGTTGTCATGGTGACTAAGCAGATAAGATAAGATTTCAGACTTAAGAAGTTTCTGTAATATGGCCCCAGGTCTCCCAGTCATTGCCGACATTACATTGAAGCCTCCCCTTTGGTGCATAAGCACACACAACAGTCAGAGTTTTCATCCCTGTGATTTTAATTCGCATTGAGGCGATCCTCTCATCCACTGGGACAAACTCCAACTGCTCGGCAGACAGCCGTGGACTCGTGAGTATCCCCATACCCGCCCGGCGCCTCTCACCATGTGCAACTCCTGACTAGGAGAGGGACCAACCCCTATCAAGGAGTTTGCTTCAAGCTCCAGCTCCTTCCCCCCAGTGAGGTTACATTCCATGTACCAAGAGCCAGTTTCCGCCGCAGTGGTCCATGCTGCCAAGAGCCACCCTGCCATCTCCCACCGCCTATGGCACTGCACCGGTCCCCCATGCTGGACCTTGCGGGTGGTAACCCTCTCTTGGGCAGGGTACATGATTTCCTGTGTCCCTTAGTCATGGAGGATTTTTGGATCAAGTTAGTCTGGGTCTTCACTCCAGACCCGTTCACCTTGGGAGACCCTACCAGGAGCATATTGCTCCAGATGACTTAGCTCTGAAGATCCCTAGACAACACAAGCCCTTCTGCCACGCCAAGGCCCTGATACAGGAAGGGCAATTGTAATATAATATAATATAATACTGATGAATGGTGTATTAAATCATATTTTTTGCCATTTTATAAAAGTAACAAAACATCTGTGACTTTAAAATAGCAGACTAGATTTTTCCTGTATCAATAAAATAAATATAAAGGCAACTTTTGTAGAAATTTATTCTCACTTAGAAAATCAACAAAGCATATTATTTGACCATGTAAAAAATTTTACATACAACTGTAGCATATTCAGCAGAATGTGACTACTGGAGAACTTGTGTAATGTTAGCATACAAAATCACAATTTTGTCCTCTAAATTAATGTTCTTTATAGTGCTCCTTTCCACTGCACTGCATCAGGGTGGATTTCAGTTTCCTAAAAAAGTGTTGTTACCGATGCTCGTCCTGGCAACTTCTCTGCGAAGTCTAGTTTCAACCACCATCTGCCACACCCGGCCCAGCAATTCATCTTGAGCCCACAGGCTCGTTCGTCTAGGGGTATGATTCTCGCTTAGGGTGCGAGAGGTCCCAGGTTCGAATCTCGGATGAGCCCTGCATTCAATGTCATTCAGGGGGCAATCATGGGCTGGAGGTTAGGGAACCAGCCTTGTGACCGGAAGGTTGCTGGTTCAATCCCCTCAGCTGACAGTATATGACTGAAGTGGCCTTGAGCAAGACACCTAACCCCCAACTGCTCCCCGGGCCCTGTGGATAGGGCTGCACACCGTTCCGGGCAAGTGTACTCACTGCCTCCTAGTGTGTGTTTTCACTAGTGTGCATGTATGTGGGTCTTTCACTGCACAGATAGGTTAAATGCGGAGGTCTAATTCCAATGTGTTCAAACACAGTTGGCTAAAGGTTCAATTCAATCTTCTTCAGAAGTCCTTGATGTATTGAATCAGATGCATTAGTGTTAGGTGAAGGGATGCCTCCTCTCAAATCCCCAAAATGTTGGTGCCCACTGCCCTATGCTGTACAAATTAGCCAGTTTGTACCAATAACATTATAAAAACTCCTCTGGTAAACATTATCCAGCTTCAATAGAGCTGTAGTCATCAGCTAAACTGTACTACAGTACATACAATAACAGATTCAATCATTACAATTACATGCCTCAAGAACTCACAGTTATGCAATTTTGTGGAAGTTGTTTTAAGATGGAAGACACAAATGAAATTTGTCTGCATTGTAGTTGTTACTGCCGCGTGGGCGCTGATGCTCATATATCAGATTATAGTTTACCTCTTGGACTATGTTTTCCAAGAGTACATTGGCCTTGGATTTGAAGATTAGACCAAATGAGATTTCAGTGCATGGTTAGTATGCAATAGATCATGGGTAATAAAATGATACATATATATTTTGGTATGTATTGCAAAACAACCCAGAAGGAGTATCTCAGGAGGTATGGACTTTATGAGAACACAGACAAACAGCAGAAAGTTTGTTTTAAAGAACTTGTTTTATTACAAATGTATAGAGTCCTGTGAAATAACCCTACATGCAAAGAATATGATAAGACAAATGCTAAAGCATCTAATCTACATACTTATCAGAAAAACTCACTCTGTCTGCCACATTTGTAGCACACAGTCAACTACCAAAGACAATACTTTCAACAAATTTCCAAGTACTTAGGCAAGAACAAAAAACCTGTTGACTCAAAACTCACATATGACAGAAGGCAATGGGCAGTTGAATTTATTCAGTAAATATTTATACAAAACACATTTTTGTACAACACTTTCAGGAATTTTTCAATTAAAACGTAAATTAATGTAATATCATTTCAGTATAACTAGTTTTCTAGAGGGAAGAATTTGTGGCAGTTCATTATTAGTGTGGTGCTGTGGGTGGAGTTTTCATGAATGCCAACAAAACCTAGAGAAATAGAAAGTGATTTTATATAAATCAACTTTGTTAAGACTTTCTCTCAAGTCTGTCTCATCATAAGACCTGTATTGTTAGAGAGTAACTGTTGTAGTTTCAAATTTGCATTATATAGTTGCATAATTCTAACATTTATTCACAGTATTGAGCAACTGCCCAGAGGCGTCTGTTATAAGTGGGTTTCAAGTCATTTGATTTTCTGTTGTTTTCTAAGAATAGTGAATAATTGTTTGTGTTAATCAATGGTATGATAATGGTATAGCAGCTGACAGAGATTAGGTTGAAAAAGTCTGGACTATTCCTTTAAGGGAGATTTCCACTGATTTTTCAAAGGTTTTCCATAATTCAGTTGCTGAGATGTAAATAAAATAGTTCAGAGTGGTTTGATGTGAAATGATGCATTGTAGAAAGACTTACCAACATAGATTCCCTTACAAAGGTGATGACGGGAATCAGGGGTCATGATATTTACAAAACAAATACATCCATTTTATTTACAATCCAAAAAAAAAAAAACAGTGAACTGACACGTCGTTTGAGTTTTTGTATATAATGTAGATCATAAATAAATAGTAGTAAATGGTACAGAAATAATAGCTTTGTACTATTTTGGCCTGCATGATTTTTTTCCACCATGAAATTCAAAAATATATATTTTGGCCTAAAACCTCATGGCAAAAGTAAACCAATCTCTCTATAAACAATATCAAGGTGCATATTCGTAACCATTTCATGCAATGACTTTGTTAGCCTTTAGAGGCATTAATCTATTGGACATCTGGGGCCGTATTACAGAAAATTCTTATCTTTTTGTCTTAACTTAAGATCTGACAGGTCAAGATAAGATTTTTCACAACTGAATCTTATCTTATTTTACAGCATCTTATCTTAAGTTAGGAAATCTTAACCTACTCGATTGAAGTCGACAATCAACTGTCGTGTCTGTTGCCTAGCAACCGACCATCCGCGCACAGCTGAAACGTAAACACGTAATCAGTTAGTCAGACAGCTAACGTTAGCTACCGTTACTGAGGTAAACAAGCTCAAATAAAACCAAAGCGCGATAAACTGCAAGTTAAAGATTTTATGGCAGCGCTTCGTGCTATTTATCGGAGCGTCGTCGTGTCCAGTTTCAGTTTCAATTCCAAATACTTCAGCCGAGCGCGCTAACGTTATTCCTCCTAATAAACAGACACAAGTTCAGCCCTGTCTCCTCATTATTCACCACCATCACTGAAATATTTTGTCTGACGAGTTTTCATCGACACACGAAGGTAATAAGAGGGAGCGGTGGAGATCGTGTCTGCAGCGTCTGAGTTCTTAAAATTAATACCGTTTTCTTATCTGGAAAAAAGATCATAGACTTAAGAACTGTTGTTCTGTAATGGCTTCTGTCCTAACTTCAGTCTTAACTTAAGTTGCCATGACAAACAAAGCAGATCTCAGACTTAAGAATTTTCTGTAATATGGCCCCTGGTTTCTATTACCATCTTCATCCAATTCTAACCTGGCACATTTCTCTAGAATAGAACATTTCACGTCAAACCACTCTGAATTACTTTGTTTACATCTTACATTTTATTACGCAGACATTTTTAAAAATTGGTGGAATTCCTCTTTAAGGAGGAAAGCACATACGGCTCTTGACCACTTCTCAGTACTCGTTTCCTTCAGTATTTGATGCTGAACTATATTTAACAGATTGATGGATTTGTGAAACCTGCTTTATTTCTAGCAGCATTATTGTACTATTACAGCTGGTAATATGTTTATGTACTGTACTTGTTTGTTTTGTATTATTACTTTATATATTTACCTAAGGTTTTGCCCTTCCTTCCACTGATCAGTGTTAAATTGATGTGAGCGGGGGATGGTTGGGGGTTAGGTGCTCCGTTTTGCTACTTGTTTTTTTGCCAACTGTATTTGATATTAATATTTTGGGGCTTTGTCTTGAAAATAAAACATTTGATCACAAAAAAGACGGATGGACCTACACGAGTATGAGATCTCTGGATATATACACAGGTTCTTTTAAAAAGAAAAACCTTCCTTGCATCAAGTCATCAAAGTAGATCTCTGACCTCGATAAACAAAGCCACGAGTGTAAGGTGGAGGTCAGCAATAATGTTTGTGATGATCCACGGACAGAACAAGTATAAGTCCTAGTCATAACGGCAATGTCTTTCAAAGGTTTCCATGGAGATCGCCTCTTCTCACCTCACAGAGCTAGGAGAGTGTAATGGGCACGGAAGCAGGGAATGAAATCACCAAAGCACCAGCTTGAAGGCTCCGTGCTGTTAAACTAGCCATTTTCTTTTCCACTTGCTTATTAGCATGATAAGGTGATGTGGACTTAAAGGGATTAAGGGCTTCTGAGGTGAATTTGCATGACTGAAGCATCAAGACTCTTGATTAAGGTATCAAAGATCAAAAGAAAGATAGTGTTGTATTTATTTAAATTGCACTCAGAGACCTCTCATTTCTGACAGGAAAAAGCTAATACTGACATAACCAAAACACATAACTGCAACTAAAGAGCTGGGAATGCATAATGGAAACAGCTCACTGATGGCACCTCAAGACAGTGCCCTTTAAGAGCCTTGGCAGTCAGATGTCTGTGCACTGTAGGGAGGCTTATTATTCTGCCACCTTGAACACTGACACTTTTGTTCAGGTGAGTTGCCTCTTCAAGCAAGACGTGCTGTTCTTTTCAAGCGATTTCTGTGGCCCACGTTTTATTTTTTGTATGAGTTTTACAGCTTCAACCCTTATCTTCATATGGTATGCTTTTTAATCATCAATTGATACTGTGTTTAGTTGCCTGTAACAGATTTATCTAATATCATATTTGGAATGTTTGAAGTGGTCTGTCATTAGTGTTTACCAGACATTTTGAAATATAAAAGCCCTTTATAAGTTTATGTTGCTATCTGTTTATGGTCTACATATTTTTAATCGGATGCAGAGCAGAAAATTAGGGCACAAAATAAAATTTCATTTTGTTTAATTGCATATTGCTTCAACACTACCAAGTATTGGTTAAGGCAGGGTGCCCAGTCATATCCGTCAAGGGCCAGTGTTGCTGCAGGTTTTCATTCCAAACAAACAGAAGCACACCTGATTTTGCTAGTTTAATCAACTGCTCAGTCTTCAAACAACTAAACGTATGTGCACCTGCTTTGATGGAATGAAAACCTGCAGCCACACCAACTCTTTGCAGGTACGACCTGGAAGAAGGCCATAACTAATTAGGCTAACTTAAAGAGTACTTTCTAGTTAATGCTAAAGCTTGAGCCTCGACGCACTCCTTACCTTGTCATGGTAAATTCAATTAAGTAATGGTTAGTGATGCACCGATATGAAAATTCCTGGCCAAAACTGAAATTTAAGACGCTCTCAGACAAAAAATGAACCACAATTTGCCTTTTAAATTGATGCTTTTTTAATAAAATGAAAAAAACTACAAGGTAATACAGAAAATACAATTTTATAATTTGATAAAATTCAATAGGACTGAGCTGACAATAAATAAAAATATTTCTGTTTTTCTGTTTCTGCCATTTTGCTATAAACTGCAAAATGAGCAAGATGTTCCATTTTTAATTGGCATTAAATCCGTAGTGGAGAAGTTCTTGAGCGTCATATCCTCCCTAGATACTTGGCATGAACAGTGATTACAAGAGTGCGTTTACAGGCACACCAATAATACGATCATTATCAAAGTTCAGCAGTTGATGATGACCTGATTATGCAAGTGGTCATGTAAGCAGCACACTCTGATTTCTTAGATCGGATTAAGGTTGTGATTGAATTTCTAGAAATCCAATTTAGAGACCTGGATGTTAGCTCAGTAACTGGCTTTTTCTTTACATGTATACGCTTACTCTGATTTCTTTGCACATGTGGGAAACAGAACGCTGTCCCAGAAACAGCAAGCAGCGTTAAATACAGCACCCACAAGATGGTAACAAAACACTTTTGGAGCGATACTGAAACTAACTACATGCTTGATGAAATTTGAAAATTGAGTCTATTGGCGGGTTGCAAAGCAGAAATGCAATTATTGCCTCACTCATGTAGACCTGGAGTTTTCCCATTACATGCATTTGGGCAATCAGAAAACACGCTGAACAAATTACTGACAAAATCTGATTTTTTGCCATTATCAGATAATTAAGTGCATATAAACAAACTCATAGTTCCACATGGCCAACTGTTCATCTGCTGCTGCTCAAACTGTTTGAAATCGTTTGCACTAACTGATGCATGAGAGTGAAGGAAACAGTGTTTTAAATCACTTTTTCATAATCTTTTTTAATCAATTTTTTTTTCTTTTGTATAAAAATAGAAAGTGATACTTTTGAAAGTTTGGTGTGGCTGAAATTTCAATGCTCCTCTAGTTTCGTGTCCCATATTTTCTTTTTATTTGTAATTTCAGCCAAATCTTTGATCATTTTTATAAAAGTTAATTAAATACAAAATGAATACATTTCCAGGCACAATGAGCATTTTGGCGCCCAAGTGTTGGAACTTGTGTACCACTGATCTAGAACCAGTTTCTCCATGGCCCCAACTGACCATAACTATTACATGTGGACCAGCAAAACTGATATCAGTTCAGGGATGTCTATAACTAGAATTAAGTTCAAGCCAGGAGTTTCTTAAGATCTTCATCCACTCCTTTATTGCTTAATTGGTCCAGACTGTGGTAGCCATGGATGATCTCATCAGCGGTCACCACCACCACTCTGACTCCATGTGTGTCCTCACCCAACTGGCAGCCAATAGCTGAGGTCACCACCATGTCCAGGCCATCATGGCACCCCCCTGCATTGCGGTGGTAGTGCCCAGAGAACACGGCTTTCACACCTAAAAAAGAGTCAGGCAGTAAATTAGGCTTAGGCAATTTGACATTATCATCACCAAGGATATTATTTTACTAAGGATATTACTATTCTTAGGATATTATTTTTGTATTAAAATGGTAGTTAGCAGCTTTGCCATTTAATTGCATGTGTGTATTGCTGCAACAGAAGCTATTTAAGGGTCAAACATACAAACATTTTTACAGACGCAGTTTGTGGTGGAAGTGATTTCAGAGTTGGTAGAGGCAGAAGACAAAACCTAGAACATGCTGGAGTCTATGAGGTCAGTCTATGAGGTCAGCTTATGAAAGCAAAACTAATATTTCAGGAAACTCTGCTGAGCTGAGAAACGTTTTGTAAGCACTCTTTGTAGCAGCTACAGCATATTTCGAGGTTGCTACCTCAGTAACTATGGACAGTCTATTTCTAGTTCCAAACTGGATTTGATGGCAGTTTAAAAAGTCCAAACTTTAAATGCTTTCTGAAATTATCTGGCTTGGAGTGTTTTGAACACTTTGCATGTCTTTACTGAAGCAGCAACGTTAAACTAATGACTCGCAGTAGATGAGAAACCAGTATAGTACTCCTTTGCACCAGTTTGGTTCAAGTAAGGGCGTGGCAATGTCTATTCAGCGTAGATATAGCCACTGAAACGAAACAGCTGAGAGATTTAGGAATCAAGGATGTAGGAATGTAGGACTGAACTCTAATTGATGCTTTAATCAGTATTCTGTCTGGCTTCACTTGCTATAAGTAAGACACTCTGTCATGAAATACTTCCAAAATAAAATACAGTGCAGTTATACTGAAGGATTGCTTTCGATATGCATGTTAAATGGTGGAGTCAATTAAAACATAGAAAAGAAAGTTATTCCAAATGACCTTGACAATTAAACAATGAGTCACCACTTTCCTGCTAGGCCGATCACATCTCTGCTGCTGGATGGTAAGGCTGCAATAAATGATGGAAAGTTCACAGAAATCTGGTTGGTGAAGTCTAGTTTCCGTGTTGATCTACATAATCATGCTGAAGGTTTTCATCTTGTCTCTCCCCTGGAGCAGCAAGACACACTTCTGCTGTTGAGGAATGCAAAATAGTGGACTGATTGCACAATCACCACAGTTGGCCAAGCAAGCCTGCACAGAATGGAAGGCATAAAATTCTTCTCTATTTTGAGCAAACAGAGACTGGCAATGCGATTTATTGTGAATTCATTCAAGACCTTGCTTATGAAAATGAAAAAAAAATATTCCACCAATGGAGCCCACATACTGTGGTAATGGATGTATTAAGGTATACAGTCCATACAGTCCATACTTCAGCAGAGATAACAGCAACAATGAGATTTCAGAAACACATTCTCATCAGAGAATGGTTGAAATGAGTTGCTGAAATGAGTTTTCTCCACAGTGATGGTGCTACACAAAAAGGCAAAAACAATGAAAACAATTTAGAACTGTGCTTAAAATATCAACACAACAATGCTCATATCAATACAGTGATATCATTATTGACATTTACGGAATTTAATCATGTTGCCTCCATTTGTCGAACATTCTGCCGGCTAATCAAGCTATATTTGGCAGTCATAAAGCTGTTGCTTTGATTTATCATTATGGTGTAAAATCAAATACAGCTAAAATCTTACCATATCCCCTATGTTGAGAGGTAGAACAGCTGCTGCCAAAAAAGCTATAAAGCTATGTATAAAACATTCTCAGACATTCTTTGAAGACTGCTCATAGTTACACTACTTATCATATCAGCACATTCTAAAGCCCCCTAGCAATGTTGGACAAGCATCTAAGGAACACAATGCTTCTAAACACTGCTGGAGAAAGCCTAAACTCAAGAAATCAGATAATTATGGAGTGTTACACAACTGCAGACACCTTCCCCCTTACAACACTACACAACAGTGTTGCGATGCAACTAAAATATCTGTAAAAATGGTAACACGGCAAGTTTGTTATAAAATCCCAAGGATATAAAATAATATTTTTTTTTTCTTTCAAAGGCAAGCAGTTTGATTATGCACATTTCAAACACACTTTTTGAATCATAACCTCTCATCCACCCCTCGGAAACAGCAGAAACAGAAACATGACATAAGCAGATAAAAAACAGCATCCAATTATCTAGAGAAGTCAGATGTGAAACAGAGGATAGCGGAAGAAAAAAATCAAAGAGCTTCTTAAACAAGCCTTTTACTCAAAGGACCAACTATGCACTGCAGCACCAAATAGAATAATTATACATGCCGTAATGTGCTAATGACTGCACGCTTTGAAAAAGAAGCACAAATATACTGTAACATCATAACATCTCACTGCAGTTTATCATTCAGCGTTCTCCTGCACAGTGCAGAGTATACAGCAGTAGCTTTTTAGAAATAAAATTACTATGGAAATACTGTCTCCAAACATACCAATCACCCCACCACCTTCACATATGGAAACTATGCTGCAAAATCAGATCACTTTAAACTGATCATTGCAGTGATGATACAACCAAGAACACATTCACATTTGACCACCCATTCAGCCTATTATGGATTATGGAAAAAATGTCAATTCATTTATGATTTCAAGTTGATTTTAAGAATGCAAACAAACAGCAACAAACTCAGATGTCAACTTCATGTCAACAGCCTGTTTGTAGCTGTTGAAATGTCTTTAAAACATTCTCACGGTGGCACTAGCAAACTAGGAATGTTTGTTGTTGTTTCTTTAGATTTGCACGTGATGGAAGTTTGTATCCCAGCAATAAGCATTGTGGAAACTGCATGTCTAAATTATCACTTGCCTCAGACTGCATCAAGAGAATCTCAAACAGACTTGCTTATGAAGTGTCTGACACTGTGTGATATACTGTCATCTAAAATATGGACAAAAGCATGTAACACAGATCCTAAACAGAAGATACATTAGCCTTGTAGATAAGACCTAAAGCAGAAAGCTTTCAGACACCAGATGTGTTGGCTGATCATCTACATTTAGGGTAAAGGGATTCAATCACTGCTTTAATTTCATCAGTTATTTTTCAGCATTTGGCCACATCACTTACACATCCTAACCTCCCTTTAGACTGTATGAGCACTCTTGTAAAATTACCCTTCACATGTAGTTCCACTCTGACTGTCAAGTCTGGGATTTAAAGAGGAACAGAAATATTGTACTCTCACCAGTGCTCTAAAGCAGGGCTGGATTAATTACTGGTGATGATTTAGCTATGAACAGCATTGAGGGGATGACTGGTTCTATGGCTAGCTTGGAATTTTGATGTACAGAAATGGTGAGCATGCTTCAAATCAGAATCACTTAATTGGCCAAGTATAATTGTTCGTACAATTAATTTGTCCTGGTAGAACTACAGCATACTTGGTTTTCTCCTCTCTCTCAAAGATGAAAGCTTTAAGTACTGTTTATCTGATGGTGACAGTTTTGGAATTGCCAGTCTGCTTGTTTCATTCAGACACTTTAACGAGGAGACACAGGACGTTACCGAGGCAACTTAAGCATAGATGGCTAACCACCAACCAAAATGAATCACCTCAGGTAAGTACATTTAGGAAAATGTGGTAAATAAACAAAAAACCCAAAGTGGTGTTACTTTGCAGGGGTTGGAAAGCCATAAAAAACACAAATCATCCAAATGCCACATCCAGGTAAGAAAGTTAGCACAGTGAAAATTAGCCCCGGGGAATACAGCTGCCATGAAGGCACTTACCAGTTGAAGATGTGCGTACTGTTTAGTAGGGGTGCAACGATTATTCGACTTAGTCGACTAAAATCGACGACCAAATTAGTTGGCAACTAATAGAGATTGTTGTCGCTGCAGAACCAAAATCCAGAGGGTACGGCTGGGTCTGATCCAACTCCTCCCACGTCGTGTTTTAATTAGTCTGAACTACAGTGGAGCTGATAAAATGGACAGTGAGTGTAGAAATGACATAGAATGAGCTAATGAAGTGGCTTATCAGGGTATGTAACATTTAATATGATTTTTTTTAGGTATATTGAGTCATTTTTATTAGACTTATGGAAATGTGCGGCAGTAATACCAAATCCTTTTAAATGTTAAAAAAAAGTCATTATGAAGATTTTCTTATTATGAAATTCCAGGATTTAGTTGATAAAACACAGTTATGTGGGTTATTTTGACCGGTCATACGTGCATTCTAGTGTTTAAAAACGTTGTGTTTTCAGCTAGAACTCGTCTATCATAAGTACTCTTGAGATGTAGGTCTACAGAACGGACGTTGTACCGGAATGTGAAAAAAAGCTTTTCGAGTTTTGACAAATAAGGAGCAACATCGACAAAATAAACAAAAACACCAGCAACACCCGCGGGTTTCCCACAGATAAAAACGCGACAGGGTTGACCAATGAAATAAGTCGTAGGCAGAAAACGTAAGAAACACATACTAGTTTAAAGACCAATAGAACTGCGATGATTTTAGACCAATGAAAAGAAGACGTGGGCGGAGTTGGATCAGGTCCGGCTCCACCCCTTTGGACTTCTGGTTCTGCAGCGAGAGGTAGTTGAACTAATTTAGTAGTCTATGACGTCATTACACGTCTTTCTCGTGCTCACTAGGAACGTTTTGACATTACCGCTTACTGGAGAGATAAAAACAGCGCGATGGCAGCCTCAAGAACAAAATCCTCAAAAGTGTGGAAGCTAAACTTAGAAGAAAAGGTTGTCAGTTGTGCTTTTTGTAAAGCCGAGCTTAGCTGGCATGAGATCACATCCTCCAAGCAGGAGCATCTGAAGAGGAAACTCGTCGGCTCATTGATGAAGAAGCTTAATCTCGGTAAGATACGCCGCGTCCCAAACCGCATACTAGCACACTAAACAGTATAATAACTTTAAATTGTAAAAATAGCGCATATACCGTTAGAAGTGCACTCGTTGGCTTAATGTGTGAAGTACAGAAGTGTGTGGTTTGGGACACGGCGATAGTTGTGCTAGCGAGCTAGCTGGCTAATGTTAATGTTAAA